CAACAAGTCAAGGGACATCACGCATGACCTGCAGCTGTGCGAGGGCGTAATCAGCAAGACTCATTGCATGATCAGTCTCACGATTTTTGCGGTTCTTCCGCACAAAAACATTTAGAGCGTAGCATCTGTCCCTCTTGTGCTCCAAATACTTGCGCATTCGAATGATTGCTCGATCCATATTCTGTGGGTCGAGATGATGAGTCGAACGACCTGAAAAAGGTCTTTCTATTCACTCTGCATCATTTGGTGGACTCGAACGGCGGCTCATTAATTCAAAAATTTGAAAAAAATAGATTACGTTTAGAAAATCTCCGAAAATTTGAATCTAAAAATAACAAATACGTTGGACTCTTTCTTGTAGAGCCTATCTTAAGCGACGTGACGTACCCGGATAAAGGACGAATAATTTTGTCCAGTGGCAGGAGTATTTACCCTCGTGAATCCGCTAATATTCTCGCTCCCAGATAACGTAAAATCAGCACGAAGATTGTAACGGGGCACCCTGAAGCTTGTACTGGTGACAGTACAAGCTACTTATTCTGATAACAGAATAAGGCGGTGCCTCGTAACTTCACGTACACTCGTACGTGCAGAGGAAGACGGTAAGAAGAAGCGAGTACTTGGTTAGAGTAAAAAGTAGAACTGTATTTATAATAGTTAATGTCTGCAATAAATCACTATTTATCTTCATCTAACTATGTCTAAATACAAATGTGTAAATCAGTTATCTGCTCACCACTCATTGCGTGCGTCTGTCGTGGCGCGTCTTCGTTGGTTGATATAATGGCCTATATCAACCAATTAGGAACTACTTGGAAGTGCTACAGAATATTGTCCTTATGACAATATTCTGAGAATATAACTCTTATAGTTATATTCTATTAACAATTTCTTATAAATTGTTATGTAACGATTCACCCCGTTACATCACCCCCTTAACCATCAGTCACTTTAGTGACTGATTGACTAAATGGATACTCGTCCCAAATCATTTGGGACGGGGTTTGCACTTGTTGGTCCGCGTCCACTTTCCAACATCTCATCGCATGGTAAACAAGCCCATGCGATGCGCGAGCAAGGCCGCCGGGAGCGCGTCTGCACGTCTCTGTGCGGACGCCGAAGCAGAAACTACAGCAACTGATGTCCCATCGGTTGCTGAATCGACTCAGCCTGTATCACCTGGTGATGCAGGCGCTGGTCATGAAGACACTCGTGTCTTCACAGAGTACGAGCTCGGTGTCTCGTACTCTCCTGATACGGATGACGGATCCGTATCGACGGCAATTGAATCCAAGCCGCCTGCCAAGCGTGGCATGGACGATGCTTTGCGTCGCAGCATCTTTGGTTCATCTGATGAGTCAGATGAACCATCGCCGAAGCGAAGGCGCTCGAGGTCGCGAGACTCGGGCGCTAATAGTGGTGTCGTTTCTCCAATGGACACCACTTCACAGCGAGGTGCCAGTACTTCTGTCGGCACGTCGCAGGAAGAGCGGGACCGCAATGTGTTGCGTCTCGCTCCAGAAAAGAAGGCATGGATGCCTCCTAAATCTGTCATGGATCACTTGTCGGCGACGACGAGTGATCGTTATCGAACACGATTGTTCGATTCGTCGAGGATTCATCACCTTGACCCCAGCGCGAAAGACTATCGCGCTGAACATGAGTTCTTCATCGATGCTTTCTTCAGACATCGATGGTACAGTGGGAATCACAAACGTGATGGTCCCTCACTACTTCAGGCGTGGAACGCCTACATCCATAATCTCGAGGATGTAGGTCGTGACGCTTGGAGCGACAAACTTATCAAAGCTCGTGATAAGTTTGAAAAGCGAACCCCGACAGGTGCACGCTATAAGCTGCATCGTCTGTCAAGGGAGAAAGGATTACCCTGCCTCTCTTGGGGAGACTCGTGCCCATGTTGTGTGAACAACTCTGCACGAGCACCTAAGGAGGCTTACCTCCTTACTAGCCCGTGGTGGCGCGTACGTATCTCTACTGAGATGTACGAAGGGATTGACAACCTGAAATCCCTTTACGACCGTGCCGGGAAGACTTTCTCCGGCGGTCCTTCTGCGGCACAGGATGTGTCGCGTCGTACTGCTCGACCAGACCCAGTACGTCAACCATCAATTGGGAGCGGGGCTCCCAAGAATCCCAGGACGGGGGATAGCCGCGCCACCGGACGAGGTAACTCGTCCGACGTCCGTTCACGTCGCGGTGGTTCAACAGCTGCTCAACTAGATAGCGCTGGCCACCGCGAGAGTCCTCTAATGGAGGTGGAGGAGGAGGAAAGACGCTCTCCACACGATCATGTGGATCGGTGTGTTCCCGAGAGCTTCTTTGATCGCGTAACGCAAGGGTTACGCGACGATCTCGAGCATGAGCGGAATAGGCGTCTCCAGATGGTGGACACTGCCTCGAAGCATCGAGCTGAGTTTGCCTTTGCTCAGCTTGAGAACGAGAGATCTCTGACATCTCTTCGTGACGAGCTAAGGGTAGCTCGTGGGATTGTTGATCGGTCTCGGGCTGAGATAACTGCTCTTCAGACCCTTGTTGATGCCCACCATCGGGAGCACAAGGCTCTCTGCGAGATGCTTGAGCGCAAGGGCGTTCTTCATCGGAAGAAGCAGCGTACTGATGGTACGGCTTAAGCCGACCAACGTAAAACGTGGGATGCGTTCGGGGATCTGTGGGATCTTTAGGCGTAGTCTTGATGTATTGGAAACGTTTCGTTGAAACTGGTAAGAAGCCGAAATTAAAGCTCTGCGGATTATGATTCAGCGTGTTTCAATCTGAAGTCTGTGTGTTGAAAGTTTTGTTTGGATAAAACAAAGTTCAATTTGTTGTGGATACAATATTAGCGCTTAAGTAACCATTCCTCTACTCATTTATAAGGTTCAGATAGATTTATTGGATTGTGGATAGCGGTTTTTACTGAAAATCTTGTCGATGTAATTGGTCTCTCGACGTTGCAGCTGTTCCGCAACATGCAGAAATACTAAGTACATTGAGTATGCGATCGTTTGAATACGCAGTTCTCTCAGCTTGGTGGCGTACAAAATTTACTCGCTTAAACCTCTCGCATTAAAAATTAAGCGCATAAAATGCGCTTAATTTTTCCATGATAAATTGAGGAAAGTGTAGCACGTGTAAGATGCTGCATCAGTCACTCATATGTCTACACTACGCTTGTTCATGTTACATGACACAAATTGACTTGTATTGTGTCTGTACAACTTAAGTTACACTAAAACATTGCAAGTAGTGACTTGCGTCACTTCACGTGCACCTTACGTGCAGAAGGACGGCTATCTATTTAACGACGCAATCAGCAGAATTGTAAATAAATTCTGCAATAAACAATTTTTGATAGTCAGCATCCTTTACTTTAGTCTAAATTTTATAGTGAATCACCAAAATGTAATATGATGAATATTTGCTTACAACTTATTGTGCGCATCCATCACTTATATTTCCGCTAGAGCTGACTAATATGATATCCCATAAACAGTCAAGAGGTGGGCGTTTCTTTATGTTCCTTCGTTTAGTAATATACTCGAATTCGATCAACCGCCATTGCTATTTTCTAATTAACAAGGATTGAGTGTTGGTCAGCTGTAACTCGCTCACCACGTTACATGGAAGTTACCTGTTCATAAAAGATACGTAGATAACTTGAAAAGTGGATATATTCAAGATTATGGATATATAACTACACTGATGAAGTCAAAATACCGTTGCAGAATCAGTTCAAATCGACAGAGATGGTCAAAATATCGATTATGCAATCGAAACGATCATTAAAATACACTGTCAGCTTCCACTCCATCGGCAACGATGATCTTATATAAATTACTACTCTGAGATTTGCTAAGTCTAATTTGTTCAAGAGCATTGCGAGCGTTAAAAGGACGTGATTATCCATGAGGCTTTAGCAATTGACGCATATGTGGTGTCTCATAATTTCTCGCACAAGTTCTTCACTATTTAAAATGTCAGACGCAACAAATGCAAGGATAGGATACGTTTATTAACGTGGCCCATCTTCTATTGAGCATGAAGGAGGCAAAGTGCAACGAAGTAAAGTTTTGAAGGGGCAAACATAATGTTGCTGGTTTGTAAAATGCTAAAAAAAAACTACTTAAAGACTTCAAGCACTGTAACAATAACATTTGCATATCGGTAGCACTACTTTCTACAACATTAAAAAAACACAAAATGTTTCTCACAGGCATAGACCATAAAGCGATAGTTTGATAGAGTAAATACTATTTCTTTTAATCCCAAGAAAATACCTGATACACACAGACTGCTGGCAACCCCTTTAGATTAATCGTGCTAGCCTTCAATTTTAGTACTCAGCTTGATGAACTCAGTGTCGACGCAGGTTTCTGATCATTACATGGAATCAATATTCCCGTTTCCTACAATTTTAAAATGCCTGAGAATGTCATCGTTGAGCGCACGTACATTGAAGATTTAAATACATTGATAGAGCCCATACGGACTTCATTTCTCATAGGACACCGGTGTGGACCATTACTTATTTTGGGTTTCTCCATATCTGGAGACGCTTGTTCACGAAAAGTGAAAAGTCACGTTAATTTCAGGGAATTGCTAAATTCACACCCCTTTTCCTTAGATTCACACCCTTCCTTCAAAAGCTTATATATAAAATCTCTATTCATTTTAAGATTTGTTTTCTGACAAAGGTATTACTCGTTAATCTAGGCCATTAATTGGCAAGTAAAACGTAAGAAATACATAAGATACTACTCACGTCTGTGGTCTAGCTTCTCCAGAGGTTACTGATAGGACACCACGCAATAACATGCTTCCTCCTCCCGAGGTTGATTACGCCAGTCGGGAGCAACTTATGGATATTGTGCAGACGTTTTTGTTTTACTTTTTTTATTATGATTTTATTAATTAAATGAACATGTTTTAACTTGTAGCCTAGTTCTGACCTTGAATGCTGCTAATTTGGACCATGCTAGACTATGGGCGCCTGTGTGCGTGCATTTGGCTTTGCCTTCCTGATCTTCAAGGCGTTCACCTAGCGCTCAGTAGCTGGCCTATCACTAAAGAAACTGGAGCTCTATGCCTTTGTATTCTTCTTCCGCCTCAGCTCTATCCTGCGGTGATAGGGGTACCCCCCTTATGACCGAAGCGGGGACTGGCTCTACTTGTTCCTGGAGATTGTGGCCCTATCGCTCTGCTGCGGGGTGATCTACCTTGTAACCGTGCGCTATAACTCGACGTACGAGCTGCGCAACGACACGTTTGGATGGCTGCATCTGCTGTCGGAGCTTGGAGCACTCTACATCCTCTTGTTCTGTGTGCTGTTCGGTATGGTGCGTGCCGTAGCTTTTTATTTAATTTTCTTGTAGTGTATTTGGATTTGTGGTTGTTAGGCTGATGAGGGTACATTTACATTACAAAACAACGTTGTTGTTGTTGTGTTGTGTTTTGTGTTTTTTTTTGCCAGCTCATTCACCCAAACTTAAACCGCAATTGGTTCTCGAAAGTATCGTGGACCATCGCACTGTACATTGAGGACGTAGCAATTCTGCCGCAGCTGTTTATGTTCCAGAAAGGGGTGTGTGTAACCGCAGCACTGATGATGAAGATGTGTTGACGGTGTTCATCACATTCTATTTATCACCTCTCTTTACTGGTGTTATACTTTTCTGACTGGGTGGAGGGCGGAGGTGCGGTCGAGTTCTGTATCTCGCACATTGTCTACGCACTGGCTTTCGGTAGCTTCTTGCATCTCGTGTTCTGGTTCTCGTCGTACCATGGACTGGGTGAAAAGGACGCGGGCCAGCACGTTGGCTACACGGTGGTATTCGTCCAGACCGGCCACATGCTGATGATGGCAAATTTTCTTTACTACTTCTTCAAGAGGTACGTTGGCCTGTTCTGTTTCTTGCAATGTTTGTTGATGCTGGTGCACATGCTAACCGTTTATCGTTTTGCTTTCGTTAGCGTGAGAGAGGGGGTCCAATGATGCTACCTACGCATGGCGCTTACCAGGTGTAAACGACTGCAGGCTGCATCGAGATGGACCAGAGCAGAGCGACGAAGGAGGATTCAGCGTGGAGCTAAGCAGGCAAGACGAAAGGCTGAGTGGTGAGGATGACCGCAGATCGATAACGATGGATACACTTAATAGTAATAGTACGACTGGTGATGGTCGATACTTTTTGCCGACGTCGACAGTGGTCTAATTTGACGAAGGAGGACGACAACAAGCGTCCACATTGATTCTCGTCAAGTGCTCTATCTCTATGCTGTTATCGCTGTGTAGGCAATTACTATAACGAAGCGCTACAACGACATGCAGCTTCCACCGCTCTTTGTAATCGACAGTAACCTACTATTATTCAACGATGCAGCGATGTCGCGGAAGACAATAGCGCGCATGAGGTGTCGAGATTACGACGTTGCAGAGAAATGGCAACAACAAAGGACCCATTGCCGCCTACACATGGTGTTGCTACCCGTGTATGTTAATTGCTGATGGAATCGTTTCGCTTCGCCTTCGCCGGAGCGAAGCCACAAAGCTTTTATGTGGTATATCATCGTCAGATGCAGTAGGATATCGTAGCACAGTCATGGTGAAAGCGGATTATGGACGAAAAGCAAGTCCACCCTTGCAAACGACCTTTGCTTCGGTCATGAACGCAGTTCGGATGAAATTGAATCAGTAAGTTAACATGCGACAGTTGTCTTAAGGTATAACTCGCAGCGTTTGCATGGATATGCATGATCTACCAGCTACCATCAAGAATCCCTTCGATAAAATAGGTCTTTTGTGGAGCTGGTATTTGATCAGCAGATACAAACTGCAACACCCTTATGCAAAAGGAGGTGTTCGACCACAGGTTCTGATTATGACTCGAGCTGAAATAGTTGAGCCTACACTTGACGTCTATGCTGACAAAGCTTCCGATATCGTCTTCCCTCTATGTGTTCATCAGAAGACGGACATTTTTCGCAACATCGCGATGACAGCTTTGCTTTCAAAACTTTTCTCGAGCAACGGGATGGCTAGGCTCTCGGCACTCGCCCAATCGAGAATCAATTACTAACAAGTTATTGCGGTATTTTGTTGCGTGCTCGATGCACTACCACTTCGTGTATGGACGGCGTTGCAGAGATCTTTTAATGGCTTCACAGCTTGTTGAGTGTGAATCGAAAGACCGTAAAGCTTACTCAAGTCTATCAGTGTGCAGATTGTGGTGGGCCCACCGGAATTTACGAGAGCACGGATGTTACTTCGTAAGCATAATGTTCACACGTAAGTACTCATGATCTCATATACGTAGGATCGTTTGATTAAAAAGAGTAGATAATATGCGAATGCTCATCAACACATTCAATTACGGAATCAGAATCGTTACTTACTATGGACATCTCTCATCAAGAAAAATTGCTAAATTCACACCGGCATACTCAACCTCGGGAGGAGGAAGCATGTTATTGCGTGGTGCCCTATCAGTAAACGCTGGAGGAGCTAGACCACAGGCGTGAGTAGTATCTTAGGCATTTCTTACGTTTTACTTGCCAATTAATGGCCTAGATTATCAAGTAATACCTTTGTCAGAAAACAGATATTAAAATGAATAGAGATTTATATATAAGATTTTGAAGGAAGGGTGTGAATCTAAGGAAAAGGGGTGTGAATTTAGCAATTCCCTAATATTATTGGGGGGTACTAAAAATAGTAACCAAATCGTGTCTTTTTTCAGGGGGTGTCCACATAGTACTTAGGGGCTCTCAACCTAGTTATACCTTAGAAAATTGCCCCGTCTGATGGGAAATGAAAAGACTCCGTGGCCTAGTTAACTCAAGCTATTAAGGTACATTATTATCTACACATTACTCGTTATTACGCGAATTATTATTATCGAGCTCAACTCTTGCCCATATGAGGAAGCTGCGAAGGAGATTGTGTTGCAGACAAGCTGCATTCCTATCCACCCGTTGTACGGGCGCTGACGGCACAGGAATCAGTTGAACGAGTCCATACAGTCGGATGTGACCGTAAAAGTATACAGTGGGCAAAATCGATCTTTTAAATGATCTTTCTTTTGATACTTCATGTCGTTACTTGTTTCGAATTTTGGCTATTGCTATTATCAACAGTATTGATTATAAAATATTAGGGCTGTTATTTTTTCGCGAGTATCTTTGTTACTGCAATTGCTGTTGCTTTTGCTAATTTTGTAGTTATTATTGAAAGGTATTGTTGGTTTGACTGGTGCTTTAATTGCCCATGTTACTGCTGTTACCTTTTGTTGTTGTCGTTGCTGCTGTTGCGGTGGTTGGTGCTAATGTATTGTTTGAAATTATTACCACTAAAGTTTTTAAATAACTTCTATAAGAAAAAATTACAAAATATACAATGCATAGTAATTACTTGTTTAGTTTTTTTTTTCAACGTGAAAATCCCCTGCTTTACCCAATTTAATTTTTTTTATGATTGATATTGGAAACAACGCCTAAAGTAGCATAACAAATTAATAAAATTATTTTTAAATCACCAGAAATAAGACAAATTTCTGTAGATTTATTTATAATTTTTAAATTAATTGGGCAGAAGTTTCAGCACTTCGTACAAGTTTCCTTTTAATGGTGGATGCAAACTAATATTATGAATTAATAAAGCAAGCATGTTTTACATGTTTTACTCCTGTCACTACTGATGTTAGTGACTTATCGCTACTACCGTCTTCTGTTATCATAGACACGACGGGTATGCTGATGTAGTTGTTCTAGTTGTGAGGTAAACACTTTCTTTATATTTAGTAGCTATAGTATCTTGAGAGCCTTACACTCGTTCCTTACTACTTTCAGAAACACATGTTCACTGAAATTGTACAAAAGCATTCAGCCTTCTTCGATGATAAACATATTGTATGCAGAACCTGTGATCATGGCTCAAGAATAGTCAATCGAACTTGTTTGTCGTTGAACTGGAAGACAACATTGCTCTATTAATTCGGTTTGGGTGATTAAAAAAACCATTTATGTGTGTTTTTGAGTAACCACTACTTTGAGTGAATTGTAAGATTTCTATCTTGAATTGTCGCGTGCACAAGACTAACTACAATGTGACGGTATAATACAAAGCAATTAAAAATTCGAACAAGTGACTTTTGAGGCGTGTAATTGCTATCGTATTTATTGACCGCTGATGTTAAAGAATGTGAACTACAATAAGAAATGCTGGACGTGGGTAGCTTAAAAAGTAATGACAACAAATACCAGACATTTCATTTTGACTGAAGTATCAAATCAATCCAGCGTGTAGGTCATGATGTAAATAAAAAACACTTTGCATTGAAAGGCTCGGTGCGGACTTCACTCAAAGTTGTTTATCAGTTTGTTTTAATTATTTCGTCAGCCCTTTGTATTGGCTCTCTATGTGTAAATTACGGTACCAAACCTTGTGTGGAGTTTTTTAAGACGTGCTACACACCTTCCATAAGCACTCGTACATAAAATAGGTATTAATCAAAGGAGATGTTGAACTCTCAACCGATACACAACTGTTAGATTGTTCTTAAATTTCTAACGGTACCTGGGCGTTTCGCCATCTGCAAAAATGTAATTGACGAATGGAACTTTATTACGTAAGCGCTGCATAGGTTCACTCATTCAGTGTCAATACTTGCGTGACCGTTTTACATTTAATTGTATTCGTAATTTAGACCTTTTAGCACATTGCGTGTTTATGGTAACTACTACAATTTATTTTCTTTATTGAAGCACAATGTCGAATTTAAGTGCCACATTACCGCGTATAAACTAGGACGTGGGGCATTTTGTTATTCTCTCATCACCTGTTTCATTTCTATAAATTATGATGAGATTATGTATAATTATTTCATCCTTGTTGTCGTTACGTCTATTTTCATTCTTTCCTGCCATCAAATGTTAATCCATATCTGTTTATTTCGTGCCGAGCAGAAAAGTTAGTGCAATTCTTTATAATAGCAAAGGCAGCAAGTGAAGCCTATGCACAAAAACAAGGATAATCTATTGATGCCAAAAATTCGTTAATGGTAGGCAATTAAATGATGATGCTGATATACATTAATATCGTCCCGCCTTCACTAAAATAAATTTAAGAACTGCGAAAATGGTGTTATTAATATGCTCCATCCAGCTGTAACACTTTATGTTTATTTTAGGTTAGTATGAAATGTGAGTAAAACGGGATCAGGATGTCTAACTTTATCCTCATTAACCCTTTCTGACCTGTCTTCTCATCACAAAGGGCTCGCATTATAACAGAAAATTTGTAAGGAGTTCTAAAAGATAAATCTTTCTGATTAAACAGATGGTCGTATGTTTTTTATTGCCAAAACAATGAATTATAAGCCACACAACAATGCATTTTTTTAAAACGGAAAAAATGTCGTAGCAAGAAGCTAAAAAGGACGATTTCTGGTAATGTACATGTCGAAAGGTCTTTTTCCCAATCAGTTTTTTATGTTTAGAAGTATTTAGCAGATAACACACACTTGCTGATTATCTTGACCATCTTTGGCGCAATCAATGTACACGAGAACAGTGCTGGAAGCGCCTGTCCCATGTATGCATCCTACTACGTTAACAAACATGAACTCCCTGTACTTCATATTGTCAACTCCAACGCGAAAAACACTTATTTCACCTTCCCGTACTACTTGATGAAGAGCGCGACTCGGATGACAACAGATGGGAAACGAATCATATTCAAATCACATGTCTGGATTATCGTTTTCATCGTGCACAATTTACATTTTTACAGTCGAGGGAAACAAAAGATATCTCTAAGAATTTTTCAACACTTTTCAAATGCATCATGATTGCTTTGTTGCTTGGAACTAGCGTATTGCACGGAAAAATAGCGTTTGTTGAGACCAAGCTATCCAACATGCATGCCATTTTCCCGATAGCTTTAATAAGCTATTTCGTGACAACTTGTCTCGTACATAGAAGTAATTATCATTCTGT